GGGGCCTCTTTGTGAGGGACAGTGACCGACCGAGCCAGCCAGACCCTCCAGTCCACCCCCACAGCACCCAGATACCCCGACACTCTGACACCGGGCCTTCCGGGCGCTCCTTCCCCCCGTCATGTGGCCGTCTGCTGCAGGGTGCTTGCTTCTTGATGGTCATATTAGTGGATTGGTGAATGAAGCCAGCAAGCTTCTTGCATACATTTACATTTTACTGTCTCCCTTAGAGTTTCTCAGGCAGCAGCAATTGTTTTCTTCCCCAGGACAGAGTGTGGCCTCACAAAGCTGCTGACATTAGGTATTAGCCCTTGGGTGATCTGTATTTCCACACGAGACATATGTTCAGAGCTGCATGGCCCCGTCCTTGTCCATCCCTCTGCAGCATGGCCTTGTCCCCTGAGTGGGGTTTGCAAGGGAAGTTACCCTAGCTCCATCTGGCCAGGGGCCTGGAAGCTCCGACTTGACATTCTCAGTGCAGATCCTTGTGAGGCAAAGGACAGAAAAGGGACCTCATGCTTTCACCAGCGCAGGGACCCAGACCTGCCTTTGGGCAGACCCCAACACCTTTGCTCTGGAGGGCACAGCTTTCTCCCTGAATTACGCCTGCAACATGCTTGCTGGGAGCCTCATTAGGTTTAATGAAAGCCATCGGGGGACAGGAGCTGCTCCGGGGGACGTGTTGGCTTGAGGGGCGGTAGAAGGAAAGCATCAGGAACCCTGGCGTGTAGTATTGGTGTCTGCTGGGTTTAACTGTAGGCGTGGGGAGGGTTTTCCGCGTCTCCCGTGTGCTCCCTGGGATGCTGCCTCTAGCCTGCACGTTTGTGGAAGGAAGGGCAGCCGTCTCTGCGGCTTCCAGTTGGAGCACCAGAACCCCCAGATGTGTGCCAGCCTTTCTTTGTACTTGTGAACCCATCCCCGGAAATAGCTATCTCCCCAAGCTTTCAGATTTCAACATGTAGCCAGAAGGCCGCGCTGTCTTGGGCCTGGTTTGGCTTGTTGTTTGCCGATACTCGGGCAGTGCTAGGAGCACCTGGCAAACAGGGAGGGCTGGGGAGTTGGCTGAGCCTCGCCTTCATTCTAGCAGTCACTCTCGGATCATTCACTGGGTGCTCAGCCTTGCGAAGTGTGTCCCTGGTACTTTACCGTTTCGCCTTCACCACGACACTTCCAAGGCAGGAGTGATTCCCCAGGAGGCACTGATGCTGAGGGGGGTCACTTGACATGGCTGCCTGTCTGAGTCATGTGGGAATTCCAGAGCTGCCTTCCAGACCCAGGGCGGCCTAACCACTGCACCCCAGAGTTTATTCCAGAAGTTCCTGTTCGTTTTTACTCTGGTTCTAGAATAGCACCTGAGTGCTTCTCTAAGTCATCCAGGAGAATGTGAGTGTGAAGAGAATCTGAAACCCCGCCACGTGGTGACCTCTCACTCTGCAGTTCCCGCCTCACCGCCATCTGCTGCGTAGGGGCTTCTGGGATGTGCCTGCAGAATGCTGAGCCACATGTACGCTATGGTTCCTAGAGGACGTCTGCCTGAAGCCTTACCTCCTCCCCTGCTCTGCTGGGGCTGATGACATCTAGACCCTAAGAAAGGAACCTGCGAGTTCTCTCACCTCTTTACTTGGAGCCCTGACTTACCTACAGCCATCAGCTTCCTGCTCTGTTCCCCCGGGACCCACACGGCCCCTTCTGCCACACTATCTGGGTCCCTGGCCTGCAGGCCTCCAGCCTTCTCTTCCCCTCTCCCGAAGGGAGACCCTGTGTGTCCTGTGCCGGGGGAGGGGAGGGAGGGTACTTGTGTTTCCCTCCCCAACCTCATTTCTCTGCGGGTTCTAGATCTCAGCGCACATTCCCTGTGGTCTCGCCACCCTCCCCGGCCCCTCACCCAAAGGAGGTTTGGAATGGGGGTGTGGCAAGTGGTTTGGGCCTCCACCGACGGTGGATGTGGACATAGGGACACACAGTCTTACTTTACTTCATAATTGGCCAGAACCAAAGACCGACAGCCACCTGGCTGTGCGTCACTTCAGTGTGGAGATCCCTACTGCAGAGACGACTTTTTCTCATGGGACCTAATACGTGATTAGTAAGACTGCCCGCTGTGTGTCAGGTGTAACCTTGGAAGTGCTGCTCTGTTTCGAGCACTCTTCTCTAAGAACGGTATTGTGGCATTTGGGGTAACTGCGTTTTGTAACATCTTAATTAATTTCCTTTTGTTCCTTGTATCACCTCAGATGGAGATTTATTTTTTAACTTGCCAGTATTTCAGATTCCACCTGGAATCAGGGAGAAGGGAAGTGCTCATGCTGTGTTCTTTCAGACTCTTAAAATGAGCACCAGAAGTGAAATGTCTGCATTTGATGTTTACAGGTAATTATGTCAGTGATGCATGGTATGGAAGCAAATCCAGTTTTGCTCTCCATGGCTCATTTGGCAGTCCTGTTAGTGGCTGGAGGAGAAGATTTGGTCTTGGCAGAAAAATAACTGCTCTGACTCAGAGCTACAAAGGGACAGGTGATGAAACGATCCCACTGAAAAACGAGCCGGTTTTCACGAGGCCTGGTTGTGCGGGCACATCAGCCAGCAGCGTCGGTGCGGGTCAGCTGCTAGACTCCCTCCCTCCCGTCCTGTCCTCACTGCTTGTGTGCCCTTGTACCGTTTGCGGTCTGCAGCAAGAGTATATTAGAGGAAAATAAAAACACGGTATTCAGACCATGAAAGCAATTTAATTCTATAGATGCGTTTCATGTTTGACTTGAAACTCCCTGAGGCCAAAGGTAAAAGAGAAGCTGAATCAGCTATGTAATCGTCATTTTCAGAAGGAAGAAAATCCATGAGTTTTCAGAGAACGTTCCATGTTCCCCGTGACCAAATGCTAAAGCACCTGTATCCAGGACTTCGTACGCCGAGCACTGAGGGACGTGGGGACCAATAGTCTTGTCGTCCTGAAGAAGAGGCAGAAGGGTTTCCATATGGCTGCTCTTCCCTAAGTCAAGGACTGTCACACAGGACTGGCCCCCCAGGGTCTCCTCCTGTCATGGACTAGGGTTCAAGATGAATCCTGCTAAATCAGATGGCGTAGGCAGAGTGAGCTTTCCTGGGGCAAGGGGAAAGTCTCATCGGACCAGAGAGGGAGGGAGAGACGTGAAGGCCTGAGTTCTCCTGTCTCCCCACATGCCTCACGGCGGCTGTCAGCCAGGCCAGGCCTGCAGGATGAGCCTGTGACCCCAGGCAGGGACCCCTCCCCACTGCCTCTTTCCCCTGTTATAGCTCAAACTGGGGCAGCCTGGTCACTGGCACGGCAAGCAGACTGCTTGGCCACCCGCTGGGTTTGCAGTTCCAGGGAGTTCTTGGTGAATGGCAGCTGCTTGGCACACAGGGACCTTGGCCGGGAGTTGTCTGAGCTCTGCAGCTGGCAAATGGGACCAGCGTGGCCTCAACCCCACGCCAATCCCCGAGTCCGCGCCCAGAGGCCTTTAAGACGGTCCCAGTCCTTGCCCCGCAGGATTGTAAGGTCAAGCCAGGTGGAAATAACTGCCAAGAGAGACTGTGTGACATGGTTGAGGTACATAGGCAACTGGAGGGCCACTTTGACCCAGAGAGAATTTGGGGTCCCTAAAGAAATAATAATTGCTTGTCCCTCAAGGGGTATCCTGTAAGCATTCATTTTTCTCAGGCTTTTCTCTAGTTGTTGACAGTGTGAAATTGTACTTCTTCCAGGGGTCTCTGTTCCCCACTGAAAAGAAATGTCTCTGCTCTGAAAACAGGTTGAATAGTGGCTACAGTTGATTATCCTCAGAGAGGCTGCCTGGCAAAATTCAGAGCCAGGCTGTCTGGGTTCGAATCCTTACTCTTCCCTTTTCCAGCTTTTTCGTGGTCTCTCTATCCCTCAGTTTACCTACCTGTAGGATGGGGAAAGAACCTACGGACCTCGTAGGGTTGTCTGCAGGAATCTGACGTGTTTTAAGCAGCGTCCGGCACGTAGTGCACACTCACGTGGCAGCAGGTGCCGCTGGGCTGGTTAGACTCGGCGCGCTCATGCGGATGGAGACCGCGCACGAGGGCTTCCGGGGTGCCTGCCGACAACACCAAACCGCCCTCAGCGCCGGCTTCATACCTTCCTAGGTGCTTGACTCGCTGCCTACAGCCCTGCTGTCGGATGACTGGGGTCTTGGGGATCTTCAGGGCAGGGGTGCTGCAGCCTCAGGGTGCTACAGGAGGTCCCTAGGGCGTCACCCCCCCCACACACACACACACCCACCACAGGGCCTGGTGTGGAGCTTTATGGATTGTTGGTGACGGCCGGCACAAATGGCCTGAAGTGTGTCCATGATGACTAAAGAAAAGAAGTTATGGAATAATTTTATTTGATAAAATGTTTGAAATTAGAAAAATCCTTAACAGAGATAGATTTCATTTACAGAATAGTTAATATAAAGACATTCTAAGAGGCACGGCTGGGTAGCCCAGTCTGTTAAGCGTCTGCCTTCGGCTCAGGTCATGATCTCAGGGTCCTGGGATCGAGCCCCACGTGGGCTTCCTATTGAGCGAAGAGTCTGCTTCTCCCTCTCCTTCTCCCTCTGTGATCTCTCTCGCTCTCCCTGTCTCTCAAATAAATAAATACAGATCTTAAAAAACAAACATTCTAAGATTAATCTGGATCCAGTGAGAACCAACCGCCTGTTGAGAGCACTCCTACTCTTGACATGAAACCTTTCATTCATGTGAGGAAGCGGCCGGTCTCTGGGTTGTGCAGGCCTCCTGGGTGGATGGGAATAATTAGGATGGGGCAAAGGAAAAGCCCAGGATACAGAGCTGTTTCACACGCTGCTGAATCGTTTCCGCTCCTGACAGAGGTACTGCTCTGCCACCTTTCCTCTTGAGATTCAGCCCCTACGGGCTGGGCCTGTCATCACCTTCTGTCCGTCAGAGCCCAAAGCCAAGGAGAGGTCAGTGGAAGTTCCCAGGTATTCCTGCAGCTGGTAGGTGACTGGAGGTGGGGTAGCTTTGCCTGCACGCCCCTGTGAAGTAGAGGGGGTGACCCCCAGATGGGTAATGTATTGGAAGGGACCTGGCACAGATCTCGATGGGATGTAAGGTAATAATTTCGTACATACAGGACATGATTCCCCTTTGAAAGTTGTGTAGACAGTGTTTGCATTTACCCATGTTAGGTTATAGCCCAAAGAGGGATTTTATTTAAAGTGAAAGCTGGAAGTTTTGACCAAGATAAGAATCTATTGGTTGTAACTGCCTGAAGGCTTCACTGTTGCTTTGATTTCAGCCTGTCCATCAGATGAGCTCTAAGAGGGGGATTTGCTGAGCCCCCTTGCGGTCAGGTCACACCCACAGGCCACTGAACTGGGGGTCAAAGAAGGAGGTGAAGGGCAGGTCAGGCTGCCACAGTGTATAGGTTAGGGGTGTGTGCGTGTGTGTTTGTGTCTGTCTTCAGGCTGAAGGGGGGGTGGGTTAAGAAATGGCTAAGAAATCACTAGTTTAGGATGCATGCTATTACTGATTCTTCCGCTCTTCCGCTACGCTATTGTAGTCTACCAACATGCTATTAAGGTTCTTCTACCAAATCGCCTCTTTCAGGATTGAACAATGTGAGATAACCATAGCTTTTTCTTCCTTTAGACCCCTGCTCTTCCAGACGAGCGAACATGTGGCCAGTAGCCCCGCCTTGGGGGACATTATTCCCTTCAGCATCATTATTCAGTTTTTGTTTACCAGAGCACCTGCTGAGCTGAAATCCCCTTTTCAGGTAATAAAGTAAAGCCAGAATCCTCTGATGAGTCCTCCCTCTTCAGTCTATAAATCCAGAGCCCCACTCACAGAATGGGTTCCTGGCCTTCTCTTGCCTTACTTAGTCATGAATCCCTCCCTGCCTTGGAAGTGAATGATTCAGGAAAGAAAATCCCCGCCACTCAGCCTCGACTCTCTCAGCAATGTAAAAATTACCTGAGGAAGCCGGAATTCACTCTTTAAGTATAATGGCACAAGTAATTTATGTTCAGAAAGCTTTTTTGATGGAGGCCCCATTTCTTTTGCTGATCCACCTGCAATGGGCTAATCCAAAAAGTTCCCTGGGAGTCGAGAAGGTGCACCAAAGGCTTGCCACCTTCCTTCAGGCAGGTGTTTGGGTAATTTCATCTTGGGAATCCTTGAGATTTCTTGTGCCAGTATGTACTGTCCTTCATGGGAGAATGTGGATGCACCCTGTCTACTCTAATTTGTGTTCCGACCCTGCAGAGGGCAGAATGGTCCCACGCACGCTTCTCCCAGTGGCTAGATGACCATCCATCTGAAAAGGACCGGCTCCTCCTCATCAGGTAAGGCCGAGTGTCCCTGGGCCACCTGCGTGTTGCAGCAGCTGGTGGGCTGGAGGCGGGGGCGCCGTGGAGGAGGAAGGAGCCGGGCGGGGGTGGGCGGGGACACACGGTGGCGCCGCCGTGCGGCGGGCCGCCTCAGTGCGCAGGCGCGCGCCTGCTGGCGCACCCGGCGCGGTCCTTCACTTCCACCTCTTCACGTCGCCTGGTGGGCTGCCCCATGCCTGATGCAGCCCTAGGAACTGTGCGGCCTGGGCTTGAAAACCAGGGCGGCCGACAGACTCCCTGCTGTAGGCCCCATTTTCCGCTTCGTGTACCTGTGTTGCAGTCACTGAATTGGTGGAGCGCACATGTGAGTAAACTTTTAAAAATACCGAAACGTGACAGTTATTACAGAAAAGGACAAACCCAGCGGCCATTGAGATGCCACACGCCCTCCGGGAGCACCCGCCCAGTCCGCGGGCCCCGGGCAGCCCTCTTCCTCAGCCTGCTCCTCAGGAATTGCTCTCCCCCACATCTCCAGCGACCTTCCAGCCACCAGACCCAAACGTGGCTGGGCTTGCCTTCCTCCTCCGCAGCTTTAGCGTTGCCCGCCACTTCCTTCTGTGGTGGTCCACGCTGTCTGACTGAAGACATTTGACCGATGCTCACTGTGCGCCAGGCCCTAAGGACTGAGAGCAGACGGACAGGCGGCCCTGCCCTCCCGAGCTTCTGCGGCACATCTGTCCTCTCCTTCCGTTCTCGTCTCTCTGGCCGCGTCTGCTCGTTTGCTTTTTCTCAGTCGAGTGTGCAGTACTGTCTTCTGTCCACTCCTCAAGTGCCATCATTTCCCACAGTTTGTGCCTGGCTCTTTTTCTTTCACATTCCGTGTATACTTGGGTCCCCAGGTGAGCCCATCTAGACCCCTGACTCTGGTGATCTCTTCTGTCCTCATGGCTCCGAGGCCTGTGACTCACCTTGATTGCCCAGGGCCTCGGCCCTGCAAACTGGCTGTCATCTGTCACTCAACGTTCCCCACAGTTCTCAACCAAAAATGTTAAAAACAAATCCTCTTTCTTCTCAAATCTTCTTTCTCCCAGACTCCCCATCTTGGTTGGGGTGTCACCATCACATACCGGCCCAGCCAGAAAAACCTTTGCAATGTCATGCAACTCCTCAGTCACCCTCGTTCTCCAAATCTCAGTCAGTCATACTTCTTAAAGAGCTCCTGAAGCCATTCTCAGCCCTCCCAGGGTGTGCTAATGCTGTCGGTGTGGGGAGCGCCGCACCGAGCAAGCCTTTGCTCGAGCTCAGTGCAGAGGGATGAGCTGGGTTCCCCAAAGCCAGATGGGGCTGTTGAGGCCAGGTGGTGCTCAACCATGCTTGCACAGGAGAATCCTTTGCAGAGCTTGGAAAAAGCCTGGTGTCCAGGCCACCCCCTCTCAACCACCTCCGAATCTCCAGGGCGGGGACCTGCCACTGGGATTTCCCAAAGCTTTCCGGGCAGTTCTGCAGCACGGCCAAGGCTGAGACTCCACCAAGAAGGAAGCTGGGAGGGGCCGTTGAGAAACACAAGTCCGTTGGCCTCTGGGAGGGACCCCGAGCCCTCAGGTTTGGTGCCCAGAGCCAGGGTGAGCCACTGGCCCTCTGGTGCCTGTGTGGGTAAGGAGCGGATTATCCCGGGCCCCTGCTCTTTTTTGCAGGTCTATTACTCTTCTCAGCTGTGAGCGTCTGGCCGAGAAATGGGACAGGATGCCAGAGGCGCCTCCCATCAGTTCCTGGGACCAGTTAGAGCTGCCCTCAGAGGGGCCTTTAGGGATGGATGAGAGGCTTGGCCTGGGGCTAACTCAGATCTGCGATGTCTTAGTGGCTTTTCTTTCCTGAGTCTCGACTGGCTTAGCTGCAGCACACTGAGTAATAGAGGATTCAGGACTCAGTTAATTGAACGGGGCTCATTTGTAAGTCTTCTTAGCAAGTTGGAATGAGTTCATCCACAACAGTTGTCCTGCTGTGGGCACATCACAAATCTGTTTGCTTTTGCTTCTCTTGAAAATGTCTCCTAGGTGATTTCATCAGTAGTGCTGTTGCTAAGCCTAAATTTAGCGACTGAAAATCAGGCTCAGAAATACTGTCATGCTTTTTAAATAAGGCTTATCCATCACACATGTCTGATATCAGAACCTCCAAGCCCTGGGCGGAAAACTGAGCCCTCCTTGGGGGATTCCAAAACACCGTGCTCCTGCTACAGCCCAGGCTGTTGGCAAGGAGAGAAGCTTTGTCCTAGAGAATGTTCTTTCTTATCTATTATTGCAAAACTAATTTGGTCCCTGCGTGCTGAAGCACCACTAGATGACCTTCTTTTCCCTGTAGATAAACCCAGGGTGAGCATTGCTCTTTAAATGTCAGTACGTTTGTTCTGACCTTTGGGCGAGACCCTGTCGTGTGCTCGTCTGTCCCCCCCAGCACAGTATGCTAAGTTGTCATAAATAGGCCAAGTCAGGAGACTCGACTGCTGCTGAGTGAGTGGCAAACTGAACTCTCTTCTGCCTGCCTTTCTGTTTCTTTTCGACACCAGATGTTTCTCTGGAGTGTGCATGGATACTAGTCACGATCATGTTAAAATCAGAGGAATCACTGACTCGTGGGGCCAGGTGGTGTGAGTGGGAGCACACAGGGTTCCTCCGCCCGCACCAGGCAGGGGCGGCAGCCTGGGGGAGGGCCTGGGGCTCTGTGGGTGTTGAGTGAGCTTCCAGCAAAGAGGAGGACTGACTCTCGACTCTGCAGGGGGGCGGGGGTGGGTCTCAAGCTCTCGATCTCTGCTGTGGAGCGGCAGTCCTCCTCTGCTCCTCCTCAGCCTGTTTGCCTAGAACACCTTCTCACTGTCAGAAATGTTGACGAGCTCTGTTGGCCCACCCATGCTTTTTATCTGTTCAATGATGGGACAGTTGTCGCTGTCAGGGGCGGCTGTGGGCCCTCTGTCCTCCCGCCATGGCCCAGGGCCCGCAGGCCGAGAACCATCCCAACTCCGTGGCCCTTCTGCTGAGTGGCAGGATCCCCACCGATGAGAGGAACATTTGGTCTCCCCTCCTAGTGTCCCTGTGGCACTGGCTACCTGCAGCCTGGGTGCCCAAGGTGGGACCAAGAGCGAGGATGGAGCCCGGGGGAGTCAGGGGCTTCCTTGTCTATGAAGGCATGTGGTGGATCTTTAAGTCATTTGTAGATTTCATACTAATGCCTGACAAATGGATTTTGTGTTCCATAAAAACCTCTACTTGGCTGCTTTAGATCACACTGAGCTGTGTTGCCGTGTTACCACTAGCCATTCCTCTACTAATTGTGCAATTCCTTTACTTTTTTTTTTTTTTCAATAAGGGTAACTTTAACAATCTGCTTATTTTGATGACAAACGAGACTTGAGACTAACTCTTATATAATGCTTGGCCTGACTTCCGAGAAAGATGATGTTTTGATCAAGCAAATGAAGTTATTTAATAATTGCTTGAAAATCTTGCTCTGATTTTATGTGGGAGGGTAGCTTTAATCTGTTTTTCTCCCTCTAATTCTGATGGTGTTTTTCCTGAATACCAAAAACTAACCAAACTCATTTCTGAACTTTCTTCTACATATTGTGTAGTTTACGTAATGTCTTGTCCTTTTGAATGCGAATGAAACAAAGTTGATTTTTGTTCATTTCTTAGATAAAGTGGATCTAATTCATTCACTACAGAGCGACTGCAATCTCTCTGAATTTCAGTGCGTGATGTCTTAGACACACCACTGTCTCAAAGACAGTCGGAGCCCTTAGGGATTTCTCTTCTGTGTATGAGTCTGCAGGGGCTACATTTTGGGAGTCAGGCGATGCCCAGGATGCCATAGCAACTTGAAAAGTATTACTAAAAGCAGCAAGATTTTTCATAAATCGCTTCATGAAGGTTCAGCTCTGACATGAACTAAGGCGTCTCATAAAACATTTTCTAAGACCATCAAGCTCCGCTTTTCATGTCGGTGCTGCTTTTGTGGATCCTACCCAGTCCCGTTTCTCCTTTATTTGCTTCCTTCTGCACTCTTGTCATTACTTTTCATTATAGTTTATCTTCCTATATTTCTAATTCCTTTTTTAAAATTCACCGATCATACATTTGTCAAGCGCTACGTCCTGAGGCTGCAGAAAGGAACAAAACAGCCCCGACCCACCAAATGAAGTTACCTTCCTGAGAGGGAAGCTCACCAGGGGCCAGATACTCTCAGTATAATAGATTCTTACATGCGGTGTGAGAACACGCAGTGGAAACCTAAACAGCGTGCTGGCTTACGGGGACAGTCTGAGGCCGCCTGGAAGCCTGGTGGGGGGAGCAGTGTTTGAGCGCCTTGTGGGTCCAGAGATGTCCCTAGAAGAGTACAGTCTTTTTTTTTTTTTTTTTAAGATTTTATTTATTTATTTGACAGCGAGAGAGGGAACACAAGCAGGGGGAGTGGGAGAGGGAGCCCGATGCGGGGCTCGATCCCAGGACCCCGAGATCATGACCTGAGCCGAAGGCAGTCGCTTAACCAACTGAGCCACCCAGGCGCCCCCCCAGTACAGTCTTTTAATTCTCCTAACTGTGCATGTAGCTGTCCTTCCCATGTGGCTGAGGAGCGAACAGGCACAGCTCGGTGGCGGGGCAGAGCCCGCGTCCCACACGGCGCACCGACAGTCGCCCTGCCTTGAACAGAGCCCGGGGACTGCCGTCGGGAATCCCACAGTGTGGGGTCCCACCAAGCCACGGCTCCAGACACAGAAGGCTTAGACCTTTTCCACCATATCTCGGGACTCCCAGGTGGTTTCTTTTGTGCTGCCTGGAGTTCGAAGAGGCTCCGTCAAAAAGAAAGCATTAGAGCCGGCCCCTAGTAAAGCACTCTGCGGGGAAGACGGCCCGGAAGAGCCCCCCCCAAAATAAGAGAACGGAGAGAGACCTAGGAGGATGGGCTTCAGGAAGGAGGGGAGAGGCTGTGTGGTGGGAGAGAAACGGGCCTTTCACAGCCCTTCCTTGTTGGGCAGATACAGCTTCATTTCTGAGCGAGGCTCACCTTGGGCCTCGGGGTCAGGCTCAGGGTCAAGTGGGGGGAAGCTGCTCTGCACGTGTGTGGGTAACACGAACAATGGCAGCTAATGATTTGAAGGGCTTTTGGGCCCCAGCACACTATCCGGAAGCCGGCAGCAGCACGGGCAGGGTTGCGGGAGGTCACGATGAAGCTGGTGCTCTGTGGGTTGCGAGTGTAGCCCCGGCCTCATGGGATAGCGCATGGCCGGCGCGGGCAGCAGAGGCGGCGGCGATGGGCGCCCCGCACGGCAGGAGTCGGACGGAAGCCAACGGGAGAGGGCGGACTCGGGCTGGAAATCTGTGAGCAAGAGTCAAAGAGGACTTTGGGGAGGGGCGGGGCCCTTTGTTGAAATAGGGGATGGTGGGCAGAACACTACCCGGAAGGGCTTTTCCCCCTACGTTTCGTTTCTTTTTTGATAGACTTTTTTAAATTTTTTAAATTTTGTTTTTTTTAAAGACTTCTTCTTTGAGAGAGAGCGTGAGTTGGGGGAGGGGCAGAGAGAGAGGAGAGGAGCAGACTCCCCACTGTGCACGGAGCCTGATGCCACAACCAGATCATGAGCTGAGCGGATATCGAGAGTTAGGCGCTTAACCGGTTGACTGAGCCCCCCAGGCGCCCAGATGGACTTTATATTTTAGAGCAGGTTTGGGCTCACAGCAGATTTGAGAAGGTACAGAGAGTTCCCATCCACCTGCAGCGTCCCCCACGGGCGGTCCGTGGGTACAGTTGATGAGCCTACCTTGCACATCATCGTGCCCCAGAGCCCCTGGTCTCCGTGAGGGTTCTCTCTCGGTGTCATTCGTTCTCGGGGTTTTGGAGTGCCCTGTTTCTGACAGGCGAGTTTGAGGGGCACCTGGGAGAAGTCAGATAATGCTGCCCAGGGCACAGGTGGAAACAAGTCAGGAGGGAGATCAGGGCGGACAGGAGGGACTGGGCCTCAGTTATGCGTCCCAGCGGGGCCGTGAACTGGCTGGCAGGGGGGAGAGCGCCCCAGAGCCAGCGATAATCAGCACATCTGACCAGGGGGTCAGTATGCACAGCGTTTGGGAGCAAAAAAAAAAAAAAAACGGTTAAGAATTACATACTAGACTTGAGGCTGAGTATGTGAGCTGAGTAATGGTATTCTTAACTTGCGTCTTCCTGGAAGTGCTCTCATCTAATCTCAGTGTGAAACTTAAAAAAACCAGTAGGACTATGATGAAAATTTTGTCATACTTGGGGCATCAATAGACCAATAATGAAAATCTTTTAACCATTCTTTTTAGCTGCAATTAAACATGATATAACACTTAGAAAACTTTTTCCATAAAGGTCCGGATAGTGAGTATTTTAGGCTCTGCAGGCCGTATGGCCTCCGTGGGCCGTGTGGGCCCCTGTCGCCGGGAAGCGGCCGCACACAGCAGATGAGCACAGCGCTCCGTTTGGCCTGTGGGGCTCGTTTGTGGATTCAGGAGAACATCACAGTCCTCAGTTTTCACGGGCTGGTGGCGCATCCTCGTGGCTAAATTCAGACCACCTCCTTATCACAGGCTTTGCTAAAACCCAGAGCCCAGCAGCAGTGCCGTCTCCCTGTGGGTTCACACTCTCCTCAAACCCAAGGGTGTTGAGCGCCGCCCAGGGGGACAGTGCGCGCGCCGGCGGCCCCGGCGGCCCCGTGCCACGGCGCCCCCGGGCGGGCCTTCCCGCGGTGCCGGGCTCCCCCTTGTGAGCTTTGTGAGAAAGCACAGGCTGCCTGCGCCTAGTCGGAAGCCTTGAACGCGGAGGGGAAGGCAAGCGCCACGGTGCCTGACTGCACCATTAGACCGCCAAGTACAGCGCAGGCTGAACAGTTTATGGGTTTCCACAGTAACCATGGCAACGCCACCCCTGGCTGTTTGAAGGCTGTCACTTTGTCACTCAGCTTGTGGAACTGGCCACAGCAACGCCAGAAATGGGCTGCCTTTACATATTGGTACCCTCTAAGTGGTTTTATTTCCTTTATTAATTTTTTGACATTGTATTCATTTTTGTTTTCAGGGGAGCTCTGGAAGCTTATGTTCAATCAGTGAGAAGTAGAGAAGGCAAAGAATTTGCACCAGTTTATCCCATAATGGTTCAACTGCTTCAGAAAGCCCTGTCTACTCTTCAGTAACAACGTGAAGTAGTTCTCAATCTCCCTTTTGTGCGAACCCAAGGTTGGCAGTTAACCTAAGAAACACATACTCTAAAAACCAGCTACCATCCACTATTTTAAGAATGTAATCAACCTCTCTGTACTTCCTGTTGATCTTCTCCTTACCTCTCGAGCCCCTCTCCCTTAAGTAAAAATGTCAAAATAGATTCATCACTACCTTCAAACTCCGTGGACCTGATTTTTCCAGAAAGATACCCAACTCTTTTTTCTTTCAGGATTTTTTTTTTTTTTTTTAGGAGACTAGCTAAAATTTCTTTCCCATAAGAGTCCCCCTCTGTGTACACACACACCCTAAGTTCCCGTTGCTTTTTAAGGGCTCTGACCAAGTTATAAATACCCTGCTGCTCCCAATTAACCTTTGCCCTCACTAGGTAAGTGTGTAGCCCAGTGGTTTCCAAATTTGACTGCACATTAGGGTCACTGGTGGAAAGCTTTTGAAAATTCTGATGCCCAACGCACACCCCGTGTTGACACATCTGGGGGTAGGGCCAGGCATCCGTTTCTGAAAATATCCCCGGGTGTTTCCAGTATGCAGCAAAGTCTGGGAACCACCGGTATCTCCCAAAGCTAAGACATAGGGTCATATGTTGTTTAAGTATGTCTTACTATATCTGTAATAAAGACAGAGCAAGGCTGTCTTTATCCTCTGTGTGTCATTCTATTAAAAGCAGACTTTGGGGGCTGTTCAACTTTGCAGTGGAGATGTCAAGTTAAAAACAATTTTTAGTCTACAAAAATCTTTCACATAATCTAGATCCTTGTTTTTCCATTGCCCATGAGCTGTCACTAACAAAACATTTTGTTTCTAATTTGTTTAAAAACCCCATCAGCAACTTCTTAATGTATTTTCCATGCCCCGCACCTGTTGTTCAGACTCAGACATAAAGTTCAGTCAAGTTCAGTCCGAACTCAGAGATAAACAATTTTTTTTTCATTTTATTTGAAATAATATACAAGAATATAGTGTGCAAAATTTAGGGGCAACATCATGAAGAAGTGTAATGAACTGAAATCAATTTTACAGCTGTGATTCCTACCAGAAACACCACTTGGTAAGTAACATGAAAAGCCATGATTGTAGCTCAGAGCAGAAGCAGCTGTCTTGCCAACGTGTGTGCTCTCACCTCAGACAGCTGGAGGAGAAGTAAAGTGCACGTGTTGCACTGCAGGAAGTGCAAAGTCTGCCCCCACCATACACATAGGATGACAAACAAGATACTTAAGATATGTGGCTGAGGAGATACAGAACACGAAGTTAAAAAATACAATGGTGTCAACTGTTAATAGCACCATGACAGTGACTATATCCCAATGCTATTAACTAACTTGACCTGGGCCCGGGCGAGGCCTCCGCCGCAAGTCCTGTAAGGGTGCTGCCGCCCGGTGCCAGGCTCGGCGTGCCCGGGGGACCCTGTGGCAGGCGGCACGCACACACTGGGACGCCGACACCGGCCACGTGTTCAGGAGCTCCCGGGTTTGGCACAGATGCTGGGCCAATGCGGTGGTCGCTCACAGAAAGGCCAGCTCCCGGCTCGGTTTCATTCCACTATGTGTACAATACAGATTAATAAGCAGTAAGGAGCCAATGTATAAACAGCAGTTACATATTTTTAAATTCCCCTTTTGTACAATTTAAAATAAAACATGTATACACTCTCCTCTCTTTCTACTGTACTTTAGCACCACAGGATATCAATTTTCAAGCCTATATTACCTGATAGACATATATGAAGTTTGGAAGAAAAATAAGGCAATTTGGTTTACAATGTTGATAGTTTTAGCTTACTTAATGCTCTAATGGAAAAAGCAAATCCTCACTCATATTATTAAATCATTTCAAGACTCAATGCTATCAGTATCTTATGGTCACACGAATTCAGGACAAATGGTGACACCTCGATCTTCTTAAGTCCCTCCGTCAACAGTGTTTATGCAACTACAGACTTAAGAACATACGCATCCTGGCTTAATGTTGCTGTGAGCCCTGTGGAGAGAAAATTAAAACAGTGAATGTTTACAAGTCAATACACAGTAATTCTACAAATGAAAGCTAAGATGAACAGAATGTTTATAAACTTACTATTTAAAAAAGATCACTTTCTCAAATGGGGTGATTTTTAAAAGTATGCTAACACCCAACAGCTCAAGCATCCAGAAAATGTATGAGAACAGTGACGAGATGGGTTAGGAGAGCAGCAAAGAAAGGGGATCTAGGCCAAGTCCTACCACACTCAAAACCAGTTGAGCCACCCTCTTCTACTGGAGTCTGGCTACCATCTACTTCTTTACAAGAAATTCCTGATAAATGTAAGCGATTGTGAACTGCATGTTACTCTAAAAAGACATACGCATAAATCTACAGAATAAATATAAGGCATCCTTGGCCAGCCCTCCTGCTGCAAAGGACTGATGTCTTCCCTTCATTTTTAAACGGTACTTCAAACTGAGCTCACTCCGTTCTATCATGTGAAGTTTTCTTCAGAATTAATCAAAAAACTCGACTTAGAAGTTGCTAACCTAGGAATGGAAACATTCTAAGAATCCATTCCATCCAAGGTTGTGTTTTTATGCTGTGAATTCATTTACAAGAGTATTCCTGGGCCTATTTCTTCTTCTTCCCGAGGTTTTTAATCTAGAAGTTCTGTGCGAATGTCAGAAGGCCCCATGAAGGTTAATGTGCCCCATCCTCCTCAGCCCCTGCCCATTTATGAAAAGAAAGGCTGTTGGGACATGTCACCCCAAGATCAGAAAGATTTTGTACCATGCTATTGAGTTGGTTACACCCATTCTTCAACCCAACTAAAAATACTACCATTCCAGAATTATTTTTCCACCTCAATATTTCTGGATAAACATTCTTCTTAAGCATGCCAGACACTTCTATTTTCCATGCTAAAAAAGTAAATGGCACTTCATAATTGAAATAAATAAATAAGGCAGCCTGTCTCATAGGGTGGTGTAAAAACATTATTAGGTTGTGAAGTATAAAAAGGCTGAAAAAGAGCCTCTATACCATCTTTTCAAGGTTATATAAGCATTGTTCCACACGCCAGTTCAGTTATGGGGAGAAGTCAAGATCTTTTTGAGCAACTAGTTGTTGAAACCTACTGAATTGGTTCTTTTCCTTTTCCAACAGTCAGGATTTAGGCGTTTTTGTTCTTCAGCCAAAGCCTTTGCTTCTAACGTATACATCCTTCTCTCTTCATTCTTCATTTTCTTCCACCTGTCGCCGAGGATCACGCTTATGGCTCTGTAAAATAAACATGCACACAATGCTGAAGGCCAGAATTTCTCGTAAGATGCATGTCCAGTGCTGCTACCTCAGGAAGAAATAGAAAGTTAAAAGAAAAAAGACAAAAATCTTGTCCAACAGAGAGAAGGGAAAAGGTCAAGGCTATCGTAGTCATTTCCAGTAAAATCTCAAGTCCCATGGGCCCATTCATCATCATCTTGGCATTTAAAGCCTCCTGGAATGGTGCCAATATTTCCAGTTGTCAGAGGACATCTAAAATGGCTAAAAATTCAGTGTCCTGGGGCGCCTGGGTGGCTCAGTTGGTTAAGCGACTGCCTTCGGCTCAGGTCATGATCCTGGAGTCCCGGGATCGAGTCCCGCATCGGGCTCCCTGCTCAGCAGGGAGTCTGCTTCTCCCTCTGACCCTCCTCCCTCTCATGCTCTCTGTCTCTCATTCTCTCTCTTGCAAATAAATAAAATCTTAAAAAAAAAAAAAAAATTCAGTGTCCTACAGAGCTTAAAGAAAAGGTGAAGTATTTCAGAGACATGGTTTAAATTACCACTGGCTCTATCCTGGTACATCGGTTTCTCAAAGATGCTTAAGCTCAAGGCAGTGTTCGGTATCAGCAGCATAATGTATTAAAAGCTATTCTTGCTTTCTCTTTGTGCTCATAACCCATCAAACAGTTACGATCAAAGTTTCATTCATTCACGTAACCATAGTGAAAATGTGGTGGCATGAACTATGCGCACCGTACCGTTTCCCTCCTAAGACAAGGCCAGATAAATCCTAGATCACGTGATCTCTGTACTTGAAGAAATTGGATAAACTCAAAGGGAAAGAAGTCCGACTGGATAAAACACATCATGATAGAAATCTGAAGCTATTTCCTATTTATATTTGTTAATCTCCCAAAACCAGTGTAAGTCTCATCCGGAACATGCAGACAGAAACCATTTTCCTTCTGTGGAGAGCTTTTAACCATTAACTTTGTGACACAAAGGTCACATACGCTGCACGAAGTAGATACGAGTGAGCTCAGTGCCTGACGTGGAAGCTAGAGCTGGGCTAGAACAGGAAGCACAGCTCTACTACTTAACAAGGAATTCAGTATGTAGTAAATACGGACAAGTGTGTATATATATATTTTTTCCAGTAAGTTGATGCAATTAAACATTGTACTGCATCCTTCTTTATAAAAATAAAACCCAGTTTTTATAGTCTCTGGGTTAAAGGTACCACGGTTGACACATTGACCAGTTAAATCGGTAAGAAACATTTAGGTATCAATTCCCAAATCAGAGGTGCATTTGGTTTGAGAAGTTTCGCTTTTTAAAATGTAAATACTTAAAATGTAAATACTTAAAAATTTAGCTCATGAGAAGAGAGTGGTAGCTGCCAGAGGCTAGGGGTGGGGGGTGGATGAAATGGGTGAAGGGGGTCAAAAGGTACAAACGTCCGGTTATAAAATAAGTAAGTCATGGGGCCGTAAGGTGCTGCACAGTGACCACAGTTAGTACTGCTGTGCTGTGTGTCTGAAAATTGTGAAGAGTAGCTCTTCACAGTTCTCGTTTCAAGAAAAATTTGTAACTGTGTGGTGATGGATGAGAACCAGACTTCCTGTGGCGATGGTTTCATGGTGCCTACAGCTAGCAAAGCATTATGCTGACCTGAAACTATGTCCACTCCTTCTCCCTCTATATAACAATTAAGCTCATGAGACATTCAAACTCGAGTTCAAAACTCAATTATTTTATGTGGATAATCATTTGACTTTTCTCATGATATCAAGGAAGAGAGTACTGATTGTCAGGAAACTGGGAAAACTGGAGGAAGTAATTTTAATACATGGAGAATTAGGCTGGTTTGAGAGGAAGGGAGTAGAGGATGCTAACAGATGAGCTAAGAGTATAAGTAAACAGAGTAGAAAGGACTAGAGTCAGTTTTATCCCTGGGTTCTAACTGAGGACACCTTTATGTTTAGTCTTTTGCAGTTTATAGTGATTTCCACATTTGTCAAAAGACTACAAATGGCCACTGCCTGCACGTTCTGTAGCATGACACAGTTGTGAGGACATCCTTGGGATCTGACACAAAAAACTTTTCTACGGAATAGTCAGTTGTTAGAATTGTGACTTCCAACAGGCAAACAACATTTAATATTATTTTAAAAGGCAGATCTTTAGGTAACCTAAAGTTTCTCCAGGTGTTATAAAAATATTTACCCATGACCCTAAAAATGCCACTTAAACTTCTTAAACTCAACCTAAGAAAACGAATTCAATAATAAAAGCTATTGGGGGGTGCCTGGGTGGTTCAGTAGGTTAAGAGTCTGCCTTCAGTTCAACTCATGATCCTGGGGTCCTGGGATCGAGCCCCGCATCAGGCTCCTTGCTCAGCAGGGAGCCT